TAAGATTGGAAGTGCCCTCATCAGACTGTAATTTAGCAGGTGCTCCTGATAAGGCCATCCGAGAAGCAGCTGCGGTGTGGCAGAAATAACATACAAAGGGGAATTCAAAGTCTGTAGAAAAATGGAATTAAAACATGAGTTTACTTTGGTGCAATCCCCCCTCCCCCCATGAAATCCATATCTAGTTTTCATAATACACATTCTCCGTGAGCCTTTTGGAGACCTCTCCCAGTGTAGTGGTTGAGTGTGGCTCTGGCTGTGACCTGGCAGGGTGCAGTGGGCAATCCACTGAGTCTCCGCATAGATTCATGGATGAGGGCTTTGGACACACCCATAGACCCCCTCCAGGCCTGGCTCTGGGTGCTGACTGGAGGAACCTACATCTGAAATTCTATTTTCTTATTTATATCAATAAAAGGGGGATGGTAACTATAGGATTAGTAACTATCGGATGATAACTCATAGGATTGTGAGTTTAAATGAAATGGACACAGAGCATTTGGTAAATACCAGTCTTAATTTTCTACTGTATACTGTCCCTCACACTTATTTTAAAAAGAAGTTAGGGACCAGCAGATGGCACAATGGTTACATTGGTGAACTCCCACACACGTAGATGACCACAGTTCAAGTCCTGGATCTGGCAGCTTAAAACACCAGGCACGTGTGTGCACGCCCAAAATCCTGACAGGAGAACGGAGAAGGGATTGCGGTGTGTCCATCCCCTGTGGGGGATGATTTCTAGCTTTCTGTCTGTCTGTCTCCCAGGTAAGTACATGTGCCCTATAGAAAAAAAAGTCACTCTTGGAACCAGCAGATGGTGTGATGGTTATGTCGCTGAGTTCCCATGCAGTCAACTGTGGTTCAAGTCTCAGACCCAGCGGCTTAAAACTCACACTGGGTGCGTGCGCGTGCATGCCCAAAACCCTGAGAGGAGAACAGAGGAGGGATTACAGCATAGCCACCCCCCAGGGAGATTTCTTGCTTTCTGTCTGTCTCTCTAGCGAGCACATGTGCCTTATAGCAAAAATTCTATTAAAATTAAAAAAATAAATAACTCTCTTTTAAAAAAAAATGTATAGGGCATGTGGTTTTGTCAAAGACAAGTCCTATGGTGTGTCCTAGGCACGATCTCCCAGAACTGTTTCCAACCCTCCAGGGTAGGCCCCAAAGCGCCACCGTGGTATTGCTGGCCCCACCCTGTGGATCTGGTTAGTTCTGTCTCCAGTGTCTGGAACTGTTCACCCCACACCTAGACCTATGGAGAACTGACAGGAAAGGCAGAAGCTCTTAAGGGGATGATGTGGACGCAGGTAACACCAGCTTAGAAGGGTCTAAAGTGGCTTCTAGTTCCAGGGTCCAGTCTCATCCTGCTTTGAGGTGAGACAGCTCTACATCCCACTTTTTCCTAAGTTAGCACTGCTGTGCGTATTATTCGCAACGAGACTTTTGTTTCCCCATCACTTCTCTTTGAGCCTCACAAAACTCCTAGGAAACAGACAACGTAGCATCCCAGAACACACACACAGAATCAGACAAGCGTGACCCTGCAGTAAGTTACCGTGTAACTTTCGAGCAAATTAGGAGTCTCTGAGCCTGTTTCCTCATCTGAAAATGGGCAGCAATGTCCATTTTGTCTTAGAACTGCCCAGAAGACGGTGATAATATGAGGGAGGCACTGGCAAGAAGCCCTGGGCAGGGACAGCTCCTATTACTGTCCCTGTGGTGTAAAAGGGACAACTAGGGCTGAGTTGCAGCAATATTCTTCCTACCACACCACACTGCGAATACAAACAGAAAAGTTCAGTGTCTCAACACCAAAGATTATCAAAAGAATTAAAGACAAAACTTGGAAACACGTGGACTCTCAAGTACTCCAAACAACCTTCAGAGGCACTGTGCTCAGGACAGGATGCAGACAGCTTAAAGACAGCTTTGCTTATAACCAGTACCCGCTGTGCTCGGACTGGACTTGGGGGGTTGCGCTTCCTCGGGCAGAGAAGCTATTGCCAGTTGACATATATATCCCACTCCACCTCACCGTAAGGCTTTTGGTCTTGTGAATTATTTTCCCCAAGGGAACCACTTCCAGAAAACCAACAGGGCACTGCACACTAGACCTCGGGAGGCACCCCTCCACGAAACCCACTCAGTCGGCACCTCCTGGGAGCTCTTCCCGAGCCTGTAACCCTGCCTCGAGTCCTTTCGCCCCTTCCGCTGTGGGGTGCCCAGCTGTCTTGCCTCAAGTCCTCTAGAATCCATGGTCGCCAAGGCATCTGCACAGGAGAACAACTGGTTTCAGGAATAGGGATGGCGCAAGGACTCACAAATGGCTCGAGCCACAATCTAAAGCAATTAAATCATGATTCTCATGGAGAGATGCCAGGCATTAGTTTTTTGTTTTGGTTTTTTAAATTTATTTAAATGTGACCAGAGAAGGACAGAGCGAGAGAGTGAGAGCAAGAGAGAGGGGAAGTGAAAAAGCAAGCTGCCAGGTCCAGAACTTGAGCTGCTATTGGCCATGTGGGAGTCCAGCGCTCCTAACCACCACACCATCTGCTGGCCCCGGCATTGGTTTTCTTAAATCCACTCAGTGATTGCAATATACACTGGTCTAGACAGTTTCAGATGGACAGTGGCATTATGGGACAATCCTGGACTAATGGAATCTGGAAGATCCTGATCCAACAGAATCTGGAAGGTCCTGATCCATCAGTGGCTTTTTTTGACTCATACCTTAAAATATTGTGAACTGCCAACACTTCAAAAGTAAGGAAATTTAGAGAGCCCAGTTTGCACATCCTCTAAGAGCACAGGCAGTCCAGAGTGATGTACTTATAAATTATTTACCTGGTGGGACCAGCAGTTAGCGTAATGGCTATGTCGCTGGACTCCCACATAGTCGACCGCAGTTTGAGTCCCGCACCCGGTGGCTTAAAACTCATGCCAGGTGCATGTGCATGCATGCCCAAGATCCCGAGAGGAGAATGGAGGAGAAGGGATTGCGGTGTGGCCATCCCCCCGGGGGGTGATTTCCTGCTTTCTGTCTCTCTGTCTCTCTCTGTCTGGCGAGCGCACGTGCCCTATAGTGAAAACCTCTCTAAAAAAAAAATGAGAAACTAACTGCTTACCCTGCGAGTGGCCCTACATAAGCACGTGTATGTGCCTAAATGAGCAAACCCTCGTCTAAAAACTGCTTTTCACAGAAAACCTAGTAGTTACTTTTCCATCTGAAATGTTACAGCCAAGAGAAAGATCGAGTTGTCTTAAAAATTGGTTTTAATTTCACAAAAAGCAAAAAATGAAAACCCGCAACTTACTCTGACAGTAGGCACTATCTGATTGACTTCCAGCTGAGCTTTTCGGAGCTGGATAGTTCATCTTGGGTCCGTAAGTAGAGAAGAAAATCCCTTAAGATAAGTCAGACACATGCCAACTTTATCCCCCAAATTTTCCCGTAATGCTCACTGTTTAGTCTTCATACAGCCCCAAAGGTCATCCAGGTCCAATGATAAATGCTGAGATCTAGTAGATATGGTTGTTCTGGGCATCTTCCATTATCAAACAAATCCTGTGACAGGTTCTGATACACTATTCACAATTCTTTACACTGGAAAATCATGTGAACAAATAACTAGACCAACAACTGCAATTTACGTGTGCACGATGTATCAAATCAGTGCTAGACCATTTGCTCTCAACTAGCACATGTGGTACATGAAGACTGACTGCTGTCATCTGCAAGGAAAGAGCTACTCTTCTACTCAGCTAGTTCCTAACGATTGGGCGAGACATGTGAGTTAGAAACTGCAGCTGAAAAAGAGCAGAGATAAAATACACGGGGTCTCCTAAGAGCTCCTGATGAAACTTATGCAGGGATTTCACTTTTGCACCAAAATAAACTCCTATTGCAATTCGATTTGTCCATAATGTTCTGAAGTCTCGTTTACAATCCTCTAATGGTAGCAGTGATAGACACTTCAGAGAGTCTTTGCTGTGATTTAAAAGCACACCCCTACAGTTTAAGAACCACCTTCCATGGTACTGAGTGCTAGGTCATTCCGAGACCAGGAAAAGAAACCATGATACGAAGAGGTAGCACAGTGTCTGACAACCCGAGAAGTAATCGTGCCGTCTTTGGCAAGTTAGTTCAACTCAATGAGCCTTACTTTTCCTTCTCTGAAAAACAGAGTGATGTTGACTCCACTGTTTTAGACGGTGATAGAAGTCAAAATGCTGAAGATTACAGTGATAAATGTACTCTCATAATTACAGATCCAAAGAAGACCAAATTAAATTGGCCTAAAAGCTGGACTTTGCTAGAATGTGGATGACAAATACCTACAACTTTGGAACCTTCTAAAGATAATTCTCCTTTCCCCCTTACAGGGGATAGCAGCTTCTGAGAGTGAGTATTAACGGTAGTGACATGAGAGAGCTCTGAAGTTAACTGTCTTTTAAAAATATTTCATCTTTAAAAGAACTGACACTCAGATGTGTGCTGAGCATATACTAAGTATTGCTACTGCAGCACAAACATCCATTATTTTCTTTTTACCACAGGATGCATGCCAGAGAGGGGGGAAGTGAGAAATCACTCCCCAGGGAGGATGGCCACACTGCAATCCCTTCTCCTCCAGTCTCCTCTCAGGATTTTGGGCACACAAGCCTAGTGTGATTTTCAAGCCACTAGGTCCAGGACTTGAACCCTGCAGTCAGCCATGTGGGATCTGGCGCCTTAACCACCATGCCACCTGCTGACCCAGTCATTTGAATTCAATGGTCAAGACACGTAATTGGCAAGCTTTTAGAAAATGCTCCTAAGGCTTCATGAACCCAGTTAAGTGTTGGGGGTAGTCTCATTCACAGTTCCCTGCAAAGAAACAATCAAATCTCGACATTTTATATTAAACAGGAACGGTGAATAAGGCACGTAATACAAGTGGCTGTTAGCCACCTACGGTCGTTTTTAAACTATAAATAAACATAAGTAACTAATGGAATAACAAAATAAAAGTTTATTTTATTAGAATTAGGAATGTTCTTTCCCTCTGGGCAACCTGAACAGTCCAGTTACAATGAAAATCTAAGAACAGTTATTTCCACAGCACAGGGTGCTCTATGCACAAAATTACAGGGTTAGGAGCATTGAATCAATTTATCGATCTGATTGTCTCACCAACCCTCCCCATCCCATCCCCAAGTGCTCTATACCGGGATCTGTAGCTAAAAGAATGTGTCATTGTACATTAAGTCCTTCTCTCTCTCGTGCTACATTTCATTTCTCAGTCATGACTGAACCACCTAATACACTGAAGAGTCAACCATTTCAAATCAAGTCAGTCTTGGATCTGTTGTGTATGTGTGTATGTATACACATGTGTATTTAATATATTTATTTAAACACACATAAAACACATACAACCTGGGTTGCAGCAAAATATACAGAATTTAGTCTGATGGTATTATATGCTACTCGATTTTACCACTGCGGTTTGTGTCCTGAGCTTTGGATCAAAATTCTATTAGAAGTCAATGTAAGTCCGTCAGCTGCTGATTGAGTTGTTCCAGCGAGGCATGCACTTTTCAGAAGACAATGCAGTTGACCTCGAGAAGACAGGGAGACCCTGGTGCTGACTATGAATAGAGCCCTCTGATAGAAAGACTTCGGTGGGTGAAACAGGGAAGCTGTCACACAATATGGCTTGCCGATCCAGCTGGGGGCACAGAAGCTACTAACATCGAAAGCAATTAACTCTGAGGATCATGTCAAACATGGAGATAGCTGTTGAAAGCCTGGAAGTGGAACAAGGCCGGGTTACCTTGATCTATACACAGTAGGGGTGCACTCACAACTGCAACGCCCTCAGCTAGTATGCCAACACGGAAACTACAAAGCATCTCTAAAAAGCACTGTTCCTCCGCAGGCGGGGCGGACTGCGTGGAGTGCACACACTGTTTCGGGGTACTTGTTGCAAGGGGAGCACGTAAAGAGGATTTATGACATTCAAACCTAGATACTGCAAAGTTAACTGTTAAGATTCTTTAAAAACACCACACATACACAAAGCATTTTAAGGGAGCCACATGTATCTAGATAGCGGTTCTGGCTGCTTTTCAAAGTTACCAGGGAAAGGAACTTCAGCTCTCTCTTAAAAAAAAAAAAAAAAAAAAAACCTTAGTTTTGATAAATGTCCTTTAAGATTGATGCAGTTGTGTAAAGTGAAATAAAGTCAAACAAATGGGAGAACGGGGCGGAGAAGGGGTGCAGGGGAAAAGAGAACATGGAAGAAGCGGACGCTGAGTTCAGATGTGCACCTGAGGTGGCAAGGGAAGGAAGGAGCAAAGGTCCAGGTAAAGTCGATCCTAAAGCGACACATGTTCAGGAAAGCAGCATAATAGACTCAGCAAACACTCACTGATCTCTGATGGGAGAAGAACAGTTGTGAGTATATCTCAGGTAACAACCTTTTCTAAAAGGAAAAGTAGGGTTGACTCAGCAAAGCCTAACTTAGGCAAAAGGCCAGAGGAAAGTGGGCCTACTTCCCAATGGAGTAATAGGATGTACGATGCAAGAGCAGACACAGCTGCCTCGCACGCGGTAAACACTCCCTAGGCACAGGCAATTCAAGGAAGACAAAGAGGTCCTCGGCCAAAGCTGGCATTTCCTAGTCAGACCTCTTAATCTAGTTGCCTAGTTCACTCTGCACTCCTATATAAAACTGACAGATTTAGGGATGCTTAACTGTTGAAAATGACCAAAGCTAGAATGGTCTAAACAGGTATAGAGTTAATAAAACCACCACCATCCTTTACTTTTAACATAGCTCTTGGTAGAAATTTCATAAAAATGGACATCACAGCTAAAATGCATTATTAATTCTATCTGCTGACAACAGAAAAGAAGCAAACTTGGTGATTCCTATTTAAATGCACTAGATGAGAATATCATGTCCTAGGGGTGTTCGCCTTCAAACTGAACCCACGGCAACACACACGAGCAATATCAGTATCCGCCAGTTTGAAATCCAAAATCTGAGACTAAGTGAATGGCTATTTATTTATATTTAAAGCAAAAACATTCTATTTGACACCCTAACTTAGAGAAGGGGTGAGAGATGAGCCATAACTTAAAATCTTAAAAGGCTCAAAGCAGCAAATATGGGAAAACAAAAAAAGAAAAGAAAAAGAAATTTGGAAATGCCTCCTCTGGATGTGGCAGGGGCCTGGGAAATCTGTGGCTGTGTGCGTAACCTGGCACACAAGAGCGTGGGTAGAGGCCCGTGGCCTCGTGGCCTCCGATCCCCCAGGAACTGCAGCAACACAACTCCTGGCTGCAGTGCTGACCAGGCCATGGATGGAGTCCAAGCTTGCCCTCCCTGTCCCTGATCAAGAGAGAACTCGAGGCAGGAGGCCCATGGCCATCCACAGACATACCCAAACCAGAAAGGGCCAAGGAACCTCAGGAAAGGGAAATCGGAGAGCTCTATGTAGGTCTTCCAGAGGTGCTAAACCAATACACCTTTTATCCCCACCCCAACCCTAGAAAGATAAAGCAAACTGAAAGAAAATGCACAGCAAATAGACATAATCTTGAAGATTTTTAAAGAATAAATATTTTTTGTAATTAAACATTATGCAAACACGTGCCACGCTTGCTTTGTCCATGCATATGCGCTATATACAATTTTGAAAAATACTGTGTTGTCCTCTTGTTTTAAAAGTCATATACAAAGTTTTTTTGTTTTTTGTTTGTTTAATCCTCTTGCTGCCTACCTACCCTTTCTCCATCCCGAGAATTTTCTTTGCAAGGAACTAATAATCATCATTCACTCATGACTTGGAGTATGAGAAAAAGAGAGTCAGTCTGTGTGTGGGTGTGTCTGTGTGTGCAGGACAGGGAGGAGAAGAGGTCCTTCACCAAAGTACAACAGAATGGCTGGCTGGGACAGGAAAGCCGTGTCAAGGAGCTGCTGGAAACTGTAACTGTACTACACTCAGAAAAAAGAAAACGAAAAAGGAGTCAGCTTTGAGAATGAAGCTACGTTACAAGTTAAAGTTGGAGGGCTTTTAGTGTGTCTGTCACACTTTTGTTGGCGGCCTAGAATACTGTTGTACAATGGTTTATCTACCTTTTTTATTACAATATAATTTACTTAAACTTTCCGTTAACAAAACAGAACTCTGGCACTACAGACCAGCGGTGTCGGAACAGGCTCAGTGCCTCCTTGTCTGTGTGTGTTGTGTTTGCTTTAATTGCATGAGCACTCTAGATGGAAAAGTGTTCAGAGTTCATTTTATGCAGGGCCATGCTCAGTCCTCAATGTACTCCCACAGGTCTTTCTCATAGCCTTCATGCACATGCTGTAACAAAACCCTTCGCCGACTCTCACAGTATCTGTAATAAGAGAAAAACACATTTGTTGTCAGTATCCGACAACTAAAAAAGGAGAGAGAGAGCAATTTGTTTATGTTAGGGCCCTGGAACAAACGCTTTTTCATAGGCACATTTTCAGGTCTAGACATACAGACACATCAAAATGCTTGAAATATTTAAACAGTATTTTTATTTTTTGAAACCCAGGATACTCAGTCCTAAGAAATTAATTTTAGAGCAATGAAGTGTTAGAAATACCAATGGGCCCTAGAAATCAATTATTTGCTACTGTAGTTCTACAGATAAGCCCTTTCAGAAAAAAGTAATTTCATGAGTTATTTATCTACAACATTGCTGTTAACTGCAAACAGACTATGAACACAGTGTGTTAGCTACAGCTGGCTGATGGAAGTGAAAAATATTATTGAGGCCTGAACTCCAAGTCTTCCAAATTCCCAAGTTTCCTACTACATTAAAAAGATTTGAGCATTTGCCATGAAAACACATGCTGGGGGAAAGATTTCTTGATGCTGAGAAATGAAACATTTTATCTTTAGCTTAAGAAGTGACATATTACCCCTAGGACAAAGTGAATCTCTCCTTAGTGATTAAAAAAAAAAAAAAAAAACTAATAAAAACTCGAAAAAAGAAAAAGTTAAGTTGATAGAGCTCACTTGTTGACAGCCATGCCCTCCAGGCTTCTCAGGCTAGGTCCAGCATCCTACTCTCCCCTCATCCAGGTGGCCACTTGCCCTTGCTGCATTCTTTCTTCCCCAAGGGTGGCGCCTCAACAGTTCAAACGGAATGGAAGCAGAACCAGCCAGGAATAAGTGGCTGAATACCCTCTCTATGAGTGAGCAGTACCAACGGCACCTACCATCTGACCGACAAGCAATCTGGAAGAGATGCAGCAGCAGCTCAGCAGTGGGCATGCTCAACCCGCATCACCACACTGAACCGGAGTGCTGAGGGGACGAGGCCGCCACTGTCAGGAAATTCTGCTCAATCACCATTAAAACACATCTCACCTGTACTTATCTTGTACTTTCTGCTTTATGTCCTGCAGAGAATCTTGGGAAATATCTCGTTCGAGGTAGCCCGAAAGCACCTCTGTGGCATTCTCTAAATCTGCTTGGTTATTCTGCAAGAAGGAAAATACACAATAAATAAAGCCTAAAGATTAAACAGTCTTTTGCTGCTTTGTTGACTAGACTGCTTTCAACACTGCTTCTGTAATTTTTATAGGTAGTTCACTGTTCCTATAAAGCTCTTCATGCCCGCTTGTTCTCTCTTTCTACAACTTTCCTTCATTTGTTTTTGTTATAGGATGTGTGTACTCACCAGAGACAGACAGACAGGAAGTAAGAAATCACCCCTCACAGGTGATAGTCACATGGCAATCCTTTCTCCTCCATTCTCCTCTTGGGATTTGGGGCATACACACCTGGAGTGTTTGTCAAGCTGCCAGGTCCCAGTCAGCCATTTGGGATCAAGAACCCTAACTACCATGACATCTGCTGGCCCCAGTACAGTTTTTGAAAGGACTTAAAACATCTCCTAGATATGAGAGCTGCTCTTAGATAAAAACTCAAAAACTCTGGAAAACTCAGAAACTTCTTCTTGCTTTGACCTGGCTGCACCTGCTTCTTTATTCAACACTGCTGGAAGATTAACTTTTTAGCCTCCATTCACTTGTTCACTGTACCCAAATTCCCATCTGCTTGTCAGTCGTACTGTCTACTCTATGGAAAGCAAGGTTTCATGCATCGAAAAAATAATTTTGGGGGGGGGGAGGTTTTTTCGCTATAGGGCGTGTGCGCTCGCCAGACAGAGAGAGAGAGAGACATAGAGACAGAAAGCGAGAAATCACCCCCCAGGGGGGATGGTCACGCCGCAATCCCTTCTCCTCCATTCTCCTCTCAGGATTTTGGGCACGCGCCCAGCGTGAGTTTTAAAGCCACTGGGTCCGGGACGCGAACCGCGGTCGACTATGTGGGAATCCAGTGACATAGCCATTACGCTAACTGCTGGTTCCCTCGGAAAAAAATTTTTGAAGGTATTTTCCATAGAGTGTATATGCTTGCTGGAGAGACAGAGACATTGAGAGAGAAGAGAGAAATCACCCCCTGGAGGGAATGGCCATGCCGCGATCCATGCTCCTTTGGGGACTTTGAGCACACATGTAATGTGCATCCTGTGATTTTCAAGGTGCCAGGTCCAGGATTCAGACTGCAATCAGCAGTGTGGGAATCCAGCACCAGCACCTTAACCACTATGCCGCCTGCCAGCCCGTCATGCACCAATTTTAACTGAGCGTCTTTACTTCCAAAACCTTTCATGCTAAAAAGAACCCCTTTCAGTCATCACTTGTTCACCAAAAGTAACCACCATATTAACTTCTAATGTTAGACTGTCAGAAAAATCATGGCGTGATTTTCTATGCAAAAATGTGCCGTGACTTTTCTAACGACTCAGTAGGTTAATTTTGTTCAAATAAAGCCTTTCGCTGAGAAGTTAAGGTGTGCCAGGTGCTTTATAAGCTACTTCCACGGACTGTCTCATTTAAACCTCATAACGTTCATCTTAGAATTAAGAGATTTAGTAATACGACTCCAGATCAATAGAACACTAAGTAACGAGGTCAAGGCCCTAGCCCAGTGCAGGTTCCAGAGCTGCATACTTGACTGCTAGCTGGCTGCCCCATGTCTACTTAAATGTGCGTTAGGGTAAGAAATAGAAGTTTCTCTTGTCTTTTTAATAAATACTGTGTTTACCCACATTTTCTGAGCAGGTAGGAACCTTTTAAACTATCTGGGGGCGGGTAGGTGGTATGGTCATTAGGGGCATTGGACTCCCACATGGTAACTCCCACATGGTTGATCATGGTTCACGTCCCGGACCTGGTGGCTTGCTTTATCACTTTCCTCCCACTCTCTCTCTCTGTCCCTCTCCGGTCAAATTGAAAAATAAAAATAAATAAGTTAAATAAAATAATTCTGGAAAAAAAAAAAACTCTATCTGATCTCTGGAAGATCAAGTTGTCCTATGACACAGGTGGGCTTTCCCCCCTCCAGGAATTCCTCCTACCTCGAAGATAATGGACTGGTTATTCTTTTTGAGGTAGAAAGCGAAGACATAAGTGTACATGAGTGTGGCACGACACTGGCAGAGGACATCGACTGCTTTCTTCAGGAACTGGACCTCGATCCAGGACATGTTATGCTGCTGCATCTCCTCCATCTTCTGCTTCACCTGAGCGTACAGTTTGTGCTCGAAGCGCAAGCTCTGCATGTGGTTCATGTAGCGATTACAGTAGAACAGGTACCTCTGCAGAGCTGCCCTGGACCGCTGTCCCAACAGGAAGACAAAGGGCACGTGGTTATAGCACACGTTAGCCACAACAAGCCCTCACCTCACACCTGTTAGGATGGCTTCTGTCACAAAGATAAAGCTAAGTGTTAGTGAGGGTGTGAGGAAAAGGGAACTCTCGCATATTGCTGGTGGGAATTTAATCAGCACAGCCCTCACAGAAAATGATTTGCTGGTTCCTCAAAGAATGAATGCTAGACCTACCATGGGCTCCAAAACCTCCCTCTCCAGGGGACACATCCAAAGGGACTGTCACCATGCTGAGAGGACGTCTGCTCCCATGTTCACAGATGCTGTGACGGGACAGCCCCTTCTCAGCGTGCACCCGCGCACACACACGCCTTTTCCAGTATGAATAAATTAACTTAAAAATCAAAACAAGACAAACTAGCTGGTCCCATGGCCTAAGGGATCTGGACCCCACATAGCCAACTGCAGTTCAAATCTGGCCCTGGCAGCTTGAAAACAGACCCGGTATATAGGTGCCCCCAGTCACAGCAGGACAGAGAAGTGGGGGGACTGCAGTATTGCCAGACCCTACTGGAGGGTGCTTTCTCAATCTCTGGCACGCATATGTGGAGTGGGGAAATGAAACGATCTCAGCAGGCCCAGGAATTTTTAAACAGTAAAGAATTTTTAAATGTGCCTAAAAATCTGATGGTATTCGAAAGGGGAAGAAAAAAAAAACCCACTCTAGATCATCTGAATGAATTCCTTATAACTGAGATTTAATTTCAGGCCTTACATTTGGGAAATGGCAAAAATTGGCATTGAAGAGTATTTCTTTAACTGTAACCAGGCTACTGAGGAAAACAAGGCAAAATATAAGACATTGACAAGCCATTCTAGGCAAATTAAAACATGATACACTATAGATATGAATGTCTGCTATAGCCAAAATGTAGAAAGTTGGTGGGAGAACAACTTATCACATGAACTGAAGTGCTGTAACAATCCATTAAAAAACACCCAGTCAGGGACCAGCAGTTGGCGTAATGGCTATGTCGCTGAACTCCCATGTAGTCGACCGTGGTTTGACTCCCAGACCAGTTGGCTTAAACTCACACCAGGTACATGTGTGTGCGTGCCCAAGATTCTGAGAAGAGAATGGAGGAGAAGGGATTTCGGCGTGGCCATCCCCCGTGGGGGGTAATTTCTCACTTTCTGTCTCTGTCTCTGTCCTTCTGGAGAGCACAAGTGCCCTATAGCAAAAACTTCTGTGGAGCACAGGTGCCCTATAGCAAAAACCTCTCCCCCCCCCCAAAAAAAAACACCCAGTCATATAGCAGTCTATCAACAGCAAATTAATTCCAACAAATGTTATATCTACCCAACTGGATAGTGTGAGCAAGTCTGAATAACTCATCATGATTAATTACAATGTATGATTTTCCACTCTTTAAAAAAAACACCCAGTCATATAGCAGTCTATCAACAGCAAATTAATTCCAACAAATGTTATATCTACCCAACTGGATAGTGTGAGCAAGTCTGAATAACTCATCATGATTAATTACAATGTATGATTTTCCACTCTTTAAAAAAAAAAAGTCTGAATAACTCATCATGATTAATTACAAACTATTATTTTCCCCTCTTTAAAAAAAAAAAAAAAGTGAGACGGAACTTCCACTTCTAACAATGTGACAAATGCCATACATATATATTCTTTTATATTTATAATCACCTTTTATAAATATTTATTATACTGAAGCCTGAAATTGGACACTGCATAACTAATGAAACTGAAGGAAAGAAAATATAAGCATGCTTCTGTTCTGATAGAATAAGAGTCCCTCTGTAAATGGAAACACGTACCTCGTATTTATTGGAGCATCTTTTCACAAGTCTTTCAGAATGGAAAAATTCTGCTAAATTATTCCCCAACAAATCATTCTCTAATGAATCTGCAATGTATTGATATATCCTATTTTTTTAAAGAATTATTTATCATTCATTTTCATTTGACATCACACAAACCCAGAAAAACGAGACGACGGGGGGAGCCCTAGCCAGGGACTCAGACTGTGCTTGGCCATGTGGGAGTATCCAGCGCCTTAACCACCACACCACCTGCTGGTCCCAATACATCATATTTAACAGCTATTCTACCGTAGAAGTACTCACCTCCTGTGCGTCTCTGGCTGCCTTGGCATCATCCTCATTATAGCGGTTACAGTTGTACCTTTAAGTAAATGAGAACGAGTCTATAAAGTCGTAAGTCAATGAGAAGAGAACAAATCACAGAACTTTAACCTCAATTTAGAGATGATCTAGAACCAACACTTCACAGCAGATAAACTGATGTGTAAAAATGCCCAGGGCGCTCCTGTTGTAAGATACCTCTAACTGCTGAGGCTCCTCAGGAGTGGCGGTGTTACTGAACCTAAGTCACACCCAGGGTCCGCGGGGGGCCTCCCCTCCTCCTGAGGCCATCAGCCCATTCCAGACTAGCTCACTTATTAGAAAACCCCGGCACTCCAGAACTTCCATTTACCAACTAGTTTGAACTAACTCAATTTTTAAAGAAAGAGAGCATCTTATTTCCTAGGTTATTTGTTATTTAAGTCAAATATAAGAGGTCTTCAAAAAGGTCATGGAAAATGTATATTATAAAAAATCTATGCATAGATTTCAATAAGATTTTCCTACCAAAAGAAACTTGTTCTTTATTTCCATTTGTCCATGAACTTTCTGCAAACCCATCCTAGTCCCCATTTTCCAAATTTATCTTATCTGCTCTTTTTTAAGCCCATGAGGACCCCTAGTCAACAGCCCAATAGAGGACAGATGCTGTGCTATGTGTTTTATGAGCTCTGGTCGTTTCTTGGAGTCACCGAAAAGTGGACACATAAACGGGTGACAGGAGAGACATTGCCCAGAGAAGCCGGCTCAGAGTGGGGATGAACAAGACAGGTGTTTCCTTGCCCTGGGGACTATGCCTCACTTACAAAGCAACTGCCGATCATGCTCTCTCCGTACAGGCACTTGCTCATACTCGACCCCTTCCAGCACCTCTGAAGTGTCTATTTCTACCCTCACTGAGTACAAGAACAAGACCTGGCACACTCAGGGTCAGGAACTAGAGCTTCAGAGCTGGGCTAATCTTAGGCGTGCCAACTGAGGGTCACCCATAACCAAGGAGTATGGTGCTCACATGCTGCTGTCATGGCTTCAGAACCTTTTAGAGCTAAAGGAAGAATGGAAGTTTATTTTCAATCTTATTAAATTGGAGTTACTATTCCAGTTGGCTAAGATCTCCAGGTTTTAAGGGTCATTATGTTCAATGCCTCTCTGATGTTGCCCTAAATTGTACATAAGATTTTTACATAAACAGAGACAAGCAAAACACCTTTCAGCAAGCCTTTAAGGCGTTCCACAAGGAAGACAAATGTCCATTACCTGTACTACAAGAAATGAGAATTCCATCTACTCCAACATTCCTGCCTACATCCACTGCCTCGCCACAACGTCAGAAACCACACAGAAATACCTCGGTGAAATCTAGAGAACATCCCAACCCATCATCCTAGCAAAACCATCATTTGATTCTGGAATTACACACGAGAGCAAAATTAAGTTATGTGGTTCATTTGTCCTTTGTGAAATCAATCACAAAGTTTGTATACTGTTTTGTTTGCTTCCAGTCTATGGTCCTCCCTTGTTCATGATTACTCAGAAATAACCAGCATTGGTCCATCGGTTCCAAACTTTCACAGTAACCCAGACAGCAGCTCCTCTAGGTCAGGAAATGTATCACTCAGTTCTCTCCAGTTTGTACTAGAACCCCTTCTTGGCAATAATTACTGAACCTAGCCCAAAGCTCATTATCTTTGACCACTACTGGTCAACAATTAATACCTCTTTTCCCATCTAGCATATTCTTTACATTTTTCCTTTTGTCACATTTTATTTATAAGCTTTGTCTAATTTGGGGCTTCTACTCTGCTAGTATCATTAAGGAGAGCAATGTTTACAATTCATGTTATATTCTGCTACTCAGAATGCTATTTTGAGGACTGGAGACATTTTCAGCTATACCAGGGAAACAGCATGACCCAAGTGTGACATGGGTGTGGGAAAAGGCAAGACACAGGCAGTGCCCTAACATCCCCTAAGGACAGCCCATTCTTCCTTCTTGCACCCACCACTTGTGTTCTGTACCCAGATCAGGTTTCAATGCAGCTCATTTAAAATCTGAATTGGGATTACAGATGTCATTACATAAACGTATTTATATTTTTAATAATTCTCGCCTCCCCCTTCCCACTACCCGGGCTTGCTCACACGAGGTAAGGTAAATTTAGTTCCTGGTAACACTCTTAACACTCCAGCCGCCGACATTCGCGAGAGCCAGAGCACCTGTGTAATGATCCCCAGATACCAAATCCTCTCCCTGGGGTTCTAACAATGACAATATCACTTTACTTCTGCCTTAACCAATCCGTTTTTACCTGGTTCAGAATGAGTTCCAGAAAGGAAAGTAATCCTTCTTGCTATTCCTCTGCCTAATGCAATGGATGAAACATGCGATGAAACCGGGAGGGGGACTTGCCACTGTCCCAAATCAGACTGCATGCCCTGTCTTGAACCTGTGATATCTTCCCTCCCATCACTCTCTACAAAGCAGCTAGAACTGAGGTGGAACTGATGTAAAGCACATAACATATTCTCGTTTAAACTGTACCTCCTATGTCGCCCCGCTTACAATTCTTACGATATAGCAAACTACTTTAGGTCCCCAGTCAGCTTTCTAGCTCTTTTCCTACTCCTCACAACTGAGCAGGAGCCACAAGCCCAAATGCCCACAGGGCTAACACAAATGAGCGAATCAGGCCACTTGCACGTTATTTACATTTTTATTAAGAAATGTGCTATGTTCCATTTTTCTCCAAACTCAAAGCATCCTCAGTTTAACTTGCACTTTCCCAAAGGAATAACAATATGCATGGAACAAAAACATGCAGTGTCACTAAGTGAAAAACAGCAGTGCCGCGGGGTAGGTGCAAATGACTGTGACGCTCAGTCTGGGAGAAACGGATCACACTGCAGAGCGAAAGCCCTCAGATGCTCAACGGCTGACACTCGGGTACAAGTGACTGCTGCCAGCGGCCCTAAGTTTCAGAGAAGCTAAAAATACAATTTTGTTGGGCAATTTTCCAGATTTTTAGACTCCGGGACAAACTTTTTGACTAACAAGGTGCAGGGCGAATAAAACACACCTGCAGGTCGGGCTGGGCCGAGGGAGACACGTTAGACCGTGTGGCCTTGCTCTCACCTGACGCTGCCTTTGTCCTAAAATGTCAACTCCCCCTACTTTTTCAAGTGATGAACTCCTCGTCCTCCTTGAAGCTCACCTTGAGGAGGTGCTACCTCCTGTGTAAGATGCCTAACTGACCCCTCTCTGTGGCGCTCTCGTATCCACCTCTCGTGACACTGGTCACACACCACGTTTAGTTATTTCATTCTCAGAAGTTAGGCATCTCTAGGAAGAAGACCCTTATTCATAACACCCAGCATATATTTCGTACGTATGTGCACACATTCTTCCCTTCATTTCCCCAACCTACCAGGCAGATCCATGTGGCTCCCAAGGGCCAAGACACACCCAGCAAAACTCTGCTTTACAGTTCTGGTTACGACAGACCATGTGATTACAACCGCCATCCTTCTCAATTGTGACATGGCATTTGGGGCATTCCTATGAAGAGAAACTATAAAGTTGGTGTCAATGCTACACTGGGTCGTATTACTACCACTGAGGAGAAGCCAGTACTAATGCAATTTTTAAATACCATACTTGTGGTTAATACATGTAAAGCACATAGAACAGTGAACGCTTAGTAAGTCATCATTAGAAAAGAGCTGTTATCATTACTGCTACTGGCTTTTAAGATGTACAACAATTCAAAGAATTTTATAAAGTGAGGATGAGGGACAAATTATCTTAAGTACTTCTAATCATGTATGTGGCAACAGTAGCTTTATGGGAGGTATTATACTGTTCATGTAAATATACCATGCTCCCTCGTGTTATCCAGAAACCATTACTGAGTACTTCCTAACCCCTACGCACTGCTGTCAGCTTTTGATATGCATCAACTCCCAGCCCTCCGCTCCTCTTCCCATGTGTTGGATGGCTAAGCTGAGGCAGACAGTACTTTTCTCTATTACTTAAAATTAGCTAGTCCAAGGTCACACAGGTAAGGAAATGAAGCCAGGAGCCAAACCCAAGCAATCTCGCCTCTAGAGTTGCAAGCAGGGCAAGCAGGAAATGGGACCTTGACTGGTAAATTCATTTTGTGGCTACTGAATTTCCAACCTGTCCTTTGCCAACTATACATGTTTTAGATTCTTGTCATTGTGATTCATTTACAACTGTGCTACAAGAAATCACATTAGACCGTTTCTTCCGAATCCTTTTCATTCTGTGACTGGCTAGTAAGCCAAAGTTTCGACCTTGTAGACCTGCTGTTTGCTGCTTCTGAAAAATACAATCAACCTTATTATTTTTTTTCTGAAGTATAAATAAGATATATTTCTATTTGCTGTCTTTGATGTCTATAACCCCATCCAAGGGGGTAGCATCAGTCATTACACTAGCAGTCTTATTCTTAAAAATTTGCCAAATAGTGTTTGCCAGAGAAACAGACACAGAAAGGCTAGGGAAAACCGGAAAGCACTTTCCTCTGGGAAATGGCCACACCGCAGTATGTTCTCCTCCATCTCTCCCTCTCCTTCTGGGATTCTGGGCATGCATACACAAGCACCTGGGATGATTTTCAAGCTGCTGGGACTTGAACCATGCAGTTGGCCATGTGGGATCTGGCCTGTTAATCACCAGGTCACCGGCTGGCCCCTCTTCGGCTATTATCTGCACTCTGGCCTTTTGTGGGAAACATACTCACTGCTCACCAACTATAGTACAGCTGTGCACTGTCTAGCAAAAGGACATGCTCCGAGTCCTGTGTCGTCAGGCCACTCTGCTGCCGCATGAACATCACGAATGCACTGGCACACACCTGGGCGGAGAGCCTCCCCCACACTCCACACCGATCAGCGGTAATCCTATGGGACCACTGTTGTGCGCGTGGACTGTCACTGACAGAAAAGCCATGCACTGGGTGATGGTAATTTCATAGGGCAATGCGGCAATAATATTTAAAATACAGTTTTTGGAATCACTCACATAAGAAATGTTAGAATTCCCCAATGAAGAAAATTTTAGTCATAAAACACATCTCAATCTACATTAGTTGGTTATAATTAACCAAATAGCATTAAGCCCTCCAAATACTAAGATATCATCAACAATCTGCACATCTGTTTAAGGAGCTAATAACATGATAAATAAAAGCTTCGAAATCCTCTCAAGAAAACTGGTTTCACATCAAAACTACTGAGTAGCTGAATCTGTTATCACGAGTTGTCATTCGTCCCTGGAATTTACCTACTAACCAAAGCCAAACACGCACAGGCCTCCACTCTCTACTGTGAGCACCTTAGGGGCTTGCAGCATCTGAAGGGATTTATCTACATGTAGAAGGAAGGCTGTCTAATCAAAAGAGTGAAATAAAACCGCCCGAACCTAAATACTTGTATTATAGAACATATTTAAGGATCCTGGGACTTTAATCAACATTATCAGGTGGGAGAATCTTCAACTTTCCAAAAATGATTAGCGAAGAAAATAAAAACCATAAACGTAACAACCAATTCCTGATTCTATAATATATTTAGCATGGTTTTCTTGGACTGATACAAGTTATGTTTATCATGATGGCTTTAGAGAACACAAAAATACTAATGTCTAAAGGATGTTCCTTAAGGATTAGGGCATTTATTTTATGTGACAGAAAGTCACTGCTTTACTGCTAATATGTTCTGGAAGAAAGCTGTTTTACACGGAAGTATGTCAGATGCACACTTAACACTGTGCACGGCTGTCATTGTTAAAAGCATGCCTTACTCATAGCATTGTCCTGTGACTAAGTGAAGGAACAGTGAAAATATAACTCAGAACTCTTTAAAATATCCTTTTCATATGTGAAAGACAATACGAACAATGAATATCCAAGTCACTTAGAACCAATAGGACACAAGACTGAATGGAGTTACATTTGCTATTTGTTCAAGTTTCTACTAATAGACTAGGGGTACACAGTTGGGATTCCAATGTTTGCTTATCACTTAGTAATAGAGCAAAGGGGTACTTGAGATTATCTGCATTTGGGAGAAATTTTGAAACAAGTATCATGAGCAACATACTTCAAAATATTAAAAAGCAAAAACCCAAGAGACACCCACATTATTGCAAAAGTTTCTGTTTCTCAGAAGTCAAGTCTCTTGGTTAAAATGAAGTTGATTTGGGGGCTGGCAGACAGCGTAGTGGTTAAAGGCGCTGGACTCCCACATCGTGAATCGCAGTTCAAGTCCCGGACCTGGTCGCTTGCTTTCTCACTTCCCCCCCTCTCTCTTTCTCTGTCCCTCTCTGATCAAACTGGAAAATAATAATAGTAATGATAAATGAAAATAAAAAAAGAAAAAGAAGTAGATTTGAACAAACTATTCTATTAAGCATAGGTCAGTTACATAATTTTAAAAACTTGACAGTTGCTCAGTTACTCTGTTTGAATCCTGCTCCCAAATAATGACTCTTGGGGGCCAGCAGGTGGCATGATGGTTAAAGTGCTGTACTCCCTCCTGGCTGACTGTGATTCAAATCCCTGGACTTGCTAGTTTGCTTTCTCACTTTCTCTCTCTCTCTCTATTTTTGGAGAAAACATATGCCATGTAGCAGGTTGAGAAATAATAATGAATAAAATTAAATTAATAATCCTTTAAAAAAAAAAAAGAGTGACTCTGAAAAAGTAAAAGTCCCTGGGGATTTAAGACAGAAATACAACTAACCAAACAGAACCAAGCTAGGTGGAACAAACTGTATATTTGTATGCCACCAGGCAATCACGAAAAAAACCCAGACCAGGAAAATGGGCAGCTATTTCTCTGTAGGAAATGACCGCTTTCCTAACAGCAGAAAGTGAAAGCAGGGCACCGCATGCCCCAGCACAGTGCCCAGTACTCTAAACAAACTCTTCCAGTACAGGACAGCCACGAACGGCATCGCTCTGGGGAACAGGGAAAGGCGAGGGAGGCCTACAGTTAAGTGGACTAGTGCTCTGTCCATGCTGATGCACCTGTCCTTACCAGCTTCACTACCAAGAGTCACTGACAGAAATACCAACCTTTGTGTTCGCTGCAATCCAATTAGAGGTCTCACTGTCATCATCACACTTTTTAATCCACTTCTTCAACCACTGTTTCTAGAGTTGCAAGCAGGGCAAGCAGGAAATGGGACCTTGACTGGTAAATTCATTTTGTGGCTACTGAATTTCCAACCTGTCCTTTGCCAACTATACATGTTTTAGATTCTTGTCATTGTGATTCATTTACAACTGTGCTACAAGAAATCACATTAGACCGTTTCTTCCGAATCCTTTTCATTCTGTGACTGGCTAGTAAGCCAAAGTTTCGACCTTGTAGACCTGCTGTTTGCTGCTTCTGAAAAATACAATCAACCTTATTATTTTTTTTCTGAAGTATAAATAAGATATATTTCTATTTGCTGTCTTTGATGTCTATAACCCCATCCAAGGGGGTAGCATCAGTCATTACACTAGCAGTCTTATTCTTAAAAATTTGCCAAATAGTGTTTGCCAGAGAAACAGACACAGAAAGGCTAGGGAAAACCGGAAAGCACTTTCCTCTGGGAAATGGCCACACCGCAGTATGTTCTCCTCCATCTCTCCCTCTCCTTCTGGGATTCTGGGCATGCATACACAAGCACCTGGGATGATTTTCAAGCTGCTGGGACTTGAACCATGCAGTTGGCCATGTGGGATCTGGCCTGTTAATCACCAGGTCACCGGCTGGCCCCTCTTCGGCTATTATCTGCACTCTGGCCTTTTGTGGGAAACATACTCACTGCTCACCAACTATAGTACAGCTGTGCACTGTCTAGCAAAAGGACATGCTCCGAGTCCTGTGTCGTCAGGCCACTCTGCTGCCGCATGAACATCACGAATGCACTGGCACACACCTGGGCGGAGAGCCTCCCCCACACTCCACACCGATCAGCGGTAATCCTATGGGACCACTGTTGTGCGCGTGGACTGTCACTGACAGAAAAGCCATGCACTGGGTGATGGTAATTTCATAGGGCAATGCGGCAATAATATTTAAAATACAGTTTTTGGAATCACTCACATAAGAAATGTTAGAATTCCCCAATGAAGAAAATTTTAGTCATAAAACACATCTCAATCTACATTAGTTGGTTATAATTAACCAAATAGCATTAAGCCCTCCAAATACTAAGATATCATCAACAATCTGCACATCTGTTTAAGGAGCTAATAACATGATAAATAAAAGCTTCGAAATCCTCTCAAGAAAACTGGTTTCACATCAAAACTACTGAGTAGCTGAATCTGTTATCACGAGTTGTCATTCGTCCCTGGAATTTACCTACTAACCAAAGCCAAACACGCACAGGCCTCCACTCTCTACTGTGAGCACCTTAGGGGCTTGCAGCATCTGAAGGGATTTATCTACATGTAGAAGGAAGGCTGTCTAATCAAAAGAGTGAAATAAAACCGCCCGAACCTAAATACTTGTATTATAGAACATATTTAAGGATCCTGGGACTTTAATCAACATTATCAGGTGGGAGAATCTTCAACTTTCCAAAAATGATTAGCGAAGAAAATAAAAACCATAAACGTAACAACCAATTCCTGATTCTATAATATATTTAGCATGGTTTTCTTGGACTGATACAAGTTATGTTTATCATGATGGCTTTAGAGAACACAAAAATACTAATGTCTAAAGGATGTTCCTTAAGGATTAGGGCATTTATTTTATGTGACAGAAAGTCACTGCTTTACTGCTAATATGTTCTGGAAGAAAGCTGTTTTACACGGAAGTATGTCAGATGCACACTTAACACTGTGCACGGCTGTCATTGTTAAAAGCATGCCTTACTCATAGCATTGTCCTGTGACTAAGTGAAGGAACAGTGAAAATATAACTCAGAACTCTTTAAAATATCCTTTTCATATGTGAAAGACAATACGAACAATGAATATCCAAGTCACTTAGAACCAATAGGACACAAGACTGAATGGAGTTACATTTGCTATTTGTTCAAGTTTCTACTAATAGACTAGGGGTACACAGTTGGGATTCCAATGTTTGCTTATCACTTAGTAATAGAGCAAAGGGGTACTTGAGATTATCTGCATTTGGGAGAAATTTTGAAACAAGTATCATGAGCAACATACTTCAAAATATTAAAAAGCAAAAACCCAAGAGACACCCACATTATTGCAAAAGTTTCTGTTTCTCAGAAGTCAAGTCTCTTGGTTAAAATGAAGTTGATTTGGGGGCTGGCAGACAGCGTAGTGGTTAAAGGCGCTGGACTCCCACATCGTGAATCGCAGTTCAAGTCCCGGACCTGGTCGCTTGCTTTCTCACTTCCCCCCCTCTCTCTTTCTCTGTCCCTCTCTGATCAAACTGGAAAATAATAATAGTAATGATAAATGAAAATAAAAAAAGAAAAAGAAGTAGATTTGAACAAACTATTCTATTAAGCATAGGTCAGTTACATAATTTTAAAAACTTGACAGTTGCTCAGTTACTCTGTTTGAATCCTGCTCCCAAATAATGACTCTTGGGGGCCAGCAGGTGGCATGATGGTTAAAGTGCTGTACTCCCTCCTGGCTGACTGTGATTCAAATCCCTGGACTTGCTAGTTTGCTTTCTCACTTTCTCTCTCTCTCTCTATTTTTGGAGAAAACATATGCCATGTAGCAGGTTGAGAAATAATAATGAATAAAATTAAATTAATAATCCTTTAAAAAAAAAAAAGAGTGACTCTGAAAAAGTAAAAGACCCTGGGGATTTAAGACAGAAATACAACTAACCAAACAGAACCAAGCTAGGTGGAACAAACTGTATATTTGTATGCCACCAGGCAATCACGAAAAAAACCCAGACCAGGAAAATGGGCAGCTATTTCTCTGTAGGAAATGACCGCTTTCCTAACAGCAGAAAGTGAAAGCAGGGCACCGCATGCCCCAGCACAGTGCCCAGTACTCTAAACAAACTCTTCCAGTACAGGACAGCCACGAACGGCATCGCTCTGGGGAACAGGGAAAGGCGAGGGAGGCCTACAGTTAAGTGGACTAGTGCTCTGTCCATGCTGATGCACCTGTCCTTACCAGCTTCACTACCAAGAGTCACTGACAGAAATACCAACCTTTGTGTTCGCTGCAATCCAATTAGAGGTCTCACTGTCATCATCACACTTTTTAATCCACTTCTTCAACCACTGTTTGAAAACAACAACTGTTAGGGTACAAGAAAAGACTTGAAAGAGATAGCAAATTACTTTAGTACTTAATTACAGTGAAACGTAAAGGTAAAAGCCAGTGAACAAGATTGTCACTAGGCCTCTTCCTGTCTGAACCAGAGAAGTCTCACAGCTGTAATATCCAGTGTATGAAATCAACCAAAAGAGAATTTGCTCTGGCTAAAGCTGAGTGGGGAACCCAAAGCTTTTTTATTTTTTTTGAAAGGTTTTTGCTATAGGGCGCATGTGCTTGCCAGAAAGACAGAGAAAGACAGAAAGTGAGAAATCGCTCCCCGGGGGGATGGCCTCACAGCAATCCCTTCTCCTCCATTCTTCCCTTGGGATCTTGGGCACACGTGAGTTGAAGCCACCAGGTCCAGGACTCGAACCATGGTCGACTACATGGGAGTCCAGCAATGTAG